ACCCCCACCGCCCCTGCCCCCACCCGTGCCCTGTGCACCCCCCATGCTGTCGCGGGGCCTGAGCCACCGCCGCAGCGAGACCAGCCACATGAGCGTCAAGCGCCTGCGGTGGGAGCAGGTGGAGAACTCGGAAGGCACCATCTGGGGTCAGGTAGGTGACCTGGGGCTCCAGGGTTTTCCATCTGGGGGACAGCCCTGAGAGGGTGGGTGGGGTGTGGAATGGCGGTCCTACTGCCAGCGTTTCTCCTCACTCTGAGCCCCCCGCTTCCTTGCAGCTTGGGGAGGACTCTGACTATGATAAGCTCAGCGACATGGTGAAATACCTTGACCTGGAGCTCCACTTTGGCACCCAGAAACCTGCTAGTGAGTGGCCTGAGGGCCCTGGGGGACCCCAATACCAGGCTCTGTGTGGCAGCCCAGGGCTCAGTGCCCCCAAGGGCTACCATTACTTACTGTGTCCCTGAGGTGTTTAACTTCTCAGAGCCTCAGTTTTCCCACCTCAAAACAGAGATGATACACTAACAGCTGAGCTGGCATTTATGCTTCCCAAATGCCAGACACCCTTGACCCTCATTTCAAAACTAACCCTGTGACACTGACAAGTTCCTGATGAGAAAGCACAGAGAGGCTAGGTAATTTGCTCAGTCACACAGCCAGACAGGAGGCATCCCCGGATAGCCTTTCCATCCAGTCTCTCTCTCCCCTCACCCCTCTCTGGGTAGCTCCCTGTAGCTGTTGGGTGAGGCTCCAGGCAGCCAGGGATACTGTGTGCGGTAAGTGGTCCCAGGATGGAGGAGAAAGGTCCTTGTCCACCCAGGAAGCAACTGCAAGGTCAAGAGGTGGTCGGTTCTCCTTACTCGGCCAGCTCAGTCCTACGCACCCAAGGGAGAGAGAGGATAGGGGGAGGGACACACACCATGCATACTGTGTTAGACTGGGCCCAAGAGTTTGTGAGTGGGGACTGTGGACACCATGAGGTGATTCAGTCAAGTCCATGGTCAGGGGGCACTTGCGCTGTTGGGGGTGGCCAGCGCAGCCTCAGCCTAGCCTCCCCTCATTAAACCACCAGTTTCTCTTCCAGAGCCAGTGCCTGGGCCTGAGCCCTTCAGGAAGAAGGAGGTGGTGGAGATCCTCTCCCACAAGAAGGCCTACAACACCTGTGAGGGGCCGGGGCGTCCCAGGGGTTGTGGAGGGCAGGAGGCGGCCCTTTGTGTGGGCCACAGAGCCAGAGCCGGGGATCCCCCCCTGGACGCTGACAGATTAGACTGTAAGGCACCCTCACACACACATACACACACACACACACACACACACACACACACACACACACACCTGCCACCGGCGGGTGAAGGCCCTCTCCCACGTCCCACATCCAGCCAGATCCCACCGGGATCCATGCCGGCCTTGGGGCCACCCCCATAGGCTCCGCCCCCTGATTGGCTCCCCAGTTCTGGCCCCTCCCTAGTTCCTTGGTCCCACAGCCACAGATCCCACTCCATTCTAGCTGTGTCTCCTCGAGAACCCCGCCCTCGCCCTTTAATCGGTCGCTGAGAGGACTCCTTTCAACCCTCGGCCGGCTCTGGCCACGCCTGGGTTCTTTCCCCCCGACCCCCCCTCCCCGGCTCCACCCAGTAGCCCAGGTAAATCTCGAGGCCCCGCCCCGGCTCACCTGAGCGGCCCCGCCCGCAGCCATCCTGCTGGCGCACCTGAAGCTGAGCCCCGGGGAGCTGCGGCAGGTGCTCATGAGCATGGAGCCCCGGCGCCTGGAGCCCGCGCACCTGGCGCAGCTGCTGCTCTTCGCGCCCGACGCCGACGAGGAGCTGCGCTACCAGGCCTTCCGCGAGGCGCCCGGCCGCCTCAGCGAGCCCGACCAGTTTGTCCTGCAGGTGCGGCGGCCGTGAGCCGTGACCCCCCCGCCCGGGGTCAGGGACTGCTGCCCAGCGGACTCGGCCGCCTCCATTCGGGCTGTCGCTATGTCCCGGGGCTGCGTCAGTCCCGCTCCACTCGCGCCCCCACGCTCACACCTCTGAGTCCTAGTTTTTACACCTTTAATGGCCAGTCTCCGCCCGGGGTCCAAAGTAGATGGGATGAGGGTGCCTCCTCGAGGTGGTGCTTTTTTTTTCTAAGGGAATACCAGGCCCAGCTGACCGCCACCCAGGCTGCAGTGGGGCAGTGGGTCTCCTGGCGGGATGGATGAATCCTGGCCCTGCCTTCATGGCAGATGCTGTCCGTTCCCGAGTACAAGACCCGCCTGCGCAGCCTCCACTTCCAGGCCACCCTGCAGGAGAAGACAGAAGAGATCCGGGGCAGCCTGGAGTGTTTGCGCCAGGCCTCCCTCGAGCTCAAGAACAGCCGGAAGCTCGCCAAGATCCTGGAGGTCAGGGCGCACCCCTCCCTCGCCACTCTCCCTGCCCCTGTCCACCTGGGTGTTCCCAGCCTGGACGTCCATGCCGATGGACCAGGGGGCGAGGGGTGGGTGAGTACCTGCCTGCCCACCTTCCTTTCCAGTTTGTGTTGGCCATGGGCAACTATCTCAACGATGGACAGCCCAAAACCAACAAGACCACGGGCTTCAAAATCAACTTCCTGACGGAGGTGAGGGGCTAGTTGGCAGTAACTGATTAGCTTGCTCTGCCGTTGAGGCTGAGGTGACCAGGCCTAACCAGAGGGGAGGAGAGAGCGTCAGGACCAAGGAGGGCCCTTCCCCCAGGAGGAAGGCCAGGCGTGACTGCAGGGGGGGGGGGGGGGGGGGGGGGGGGGGTGCGCCTCCAAGTTAAGCCTCAGGATCTGAATAATGGAGTGGGGGCGGGGGGCAGGGAGGGAAGCCTCCAGGAGGACAGGGAGAGTCCATTTGTAGATACTAATGGTTTAGGATAGCTGAGGCTCAGGTGGGCCACAGATGCTTCCAGAAAACCACAAAAGGGAAGATCTGTGAGTGATGCTACCCATCCCCCTGGGGTCAGAGAATCTTGGGTTATATCTGCTGACAAGGACAGAAAAACTTTAGTGACCTCCCCAAGTTAGGGGATGGAGGCCTGGTTCTTGGGGGGTCTCAAAGATCTGGGCCAGGGAACCTGCAAACTCCTGTGGGGGCCTGTGGCATCCTAGCAGATAAAACTTCAGAGTAAGGAATACTAGCAATTGGTTTATGAGCTTTGGAGTTGTCATGTATTGAGGGCCAGAAATAAGCCACAGTCCGGGATAGCAGGGCTGAGAGGACCTAGGCCCATGTGATAGGATCTGATGGGGTCCTTGAGGAGGACGTATGTTGGGGGTCACTTGCAGCTGAACTCCACCAAGACGGTGGACGGGAAGTCCACCTTCCTGCACATCCTTGCCAAATCACTGAGCCAGCACTTCCCTGAACTCCTGGGCTTTGCTCAGGACCTACCCACCGTGCCCCTGGCTGCCAAAGGTAGGCTAACTGGGTGGGTGGGGAGGCAGAGGCACTGCCCTCCTGGGCTGGGAGCGTGGCCCCATTGGGCTCTGTCCTCTTCCCCACAGTGAACCAACGGGCCCTGACCAGTGACCTGGCTGACCTCCACGGCACCATCAGTGAGATACAGACTGCCTGCCAGAGCATGTCCCCCTCTAGCGAAGACAAGTTTGCCATGGTCATGACGGTATCCTCTGAGCAGCCTGACACTGGAGTGGTCAGGTAGAGCTAGCTATGGCTCCAGCCGAGATGCTGGGCAGAGGCTGCCGTGGGTCCGAGGGTGCTGGAAGAGGGTCCATCCTGGGTCGTTTTGAATCCAAGCACTTCTGCCAAGTCTTTGTGTAACTGAGGAGGAGCTCTTTTGACTGTCCTAAAGCCGCCGCCTTGCCCCATCTGTGCTCATGGGCAGGAGAGCCCAGAGTTAAGGCACAAGACAGAAGGAGAGGCCTGTCAGGCTCTGGCCAGCCAGAGGTAATCAGGAGAGGGGAGCATTCCCACTGAGCACAGAGAGCGACAGGTGCTGTGGAAGCGAGAGAGAGTAAGGCCTGGAGAGTGATGGGGCCGCTCCAAGTGACTGGTTGGGGAAGAGAGGGTGGTACATCTGAGCTGAGCCCAGAGGGAAGAGTTGCCCTGCGTAGAGGAGGAAGTGAAAGGCCTGAAGCCGGAAGGACTGTGGCAGGTTTCGGGAAGAGCTTGGGGAACAGTAGGCAAAGGGGCTGGTGCCTCTGAATGGGGCATGGTTCCCAGTCGAGCACAGAGTCTGGGACAGACGGGAGTCGGGCAGCGAGGTTGTTGCCTGGGGTCACTGCCCGGGAACCTGGGGACACCCAGGAGGTCCGGCAGTTTCCTTAACAGAGGCCCATCAGTCGTTCCTGGAGATGGCCCAGCCGGTGCTACGGGCGCTGGACGGGCTGCAGCGTGAGGCCATGGAGGAGCTGGGCAAGGCGCTGGCCTTCTTCGGGGAGGATTCCAAAGCCACCACCTCCGAGGCCTTCTTCGGCATCTTTGCGGAGTTCATGAGCAAGTTCGAGGTGAGCCAGGGTGCAAGGCTTAAGGGGCCCCTCAGGAGAAGTCAGAGCCAGAGGTCAAATGAAGGGGGTCTTCTGTGATGCCCAGTTTGGGACACGACCCCCAGTGAATTACATAACCCTCTTCCCACCAAGGGGCTGCTGGTAGGTCTGTGCCCTGGCTCTGGGGTGGGGAGATGAGGCAGGGAGAGTGTGGGGGTTCCAGGGACCACTGACAAAGCCCTTCCCCTGTGCTCCTCCCTGCCTAGCGAGCTCTCAGTGACCTGCAGGCCGGGGAAGGTGCTCGCAGCTCAGGGATGGCTTCACCCCTGGCCTGGTGACAGCAATGGCCCCGAGCGCACTGGAGTGCACCTGCCTGGGGTTTGGGCTGCGCCTGGCCCTCGCCTGCCTCCTGCCTGGCACCTTGGGCCACTGCGCCCACTGCACCTGCATCTCCAGCTACCTCAGCCATTGAGCTCCAGACCCCGCGAAGGTGTGGGGCTCGGCCATGTACCCCTCTCCAGGCCAAGCCCTGGCTCTGAGCGCTGGGGGTACGGGGCAGGAGCAGACACACTGACTCCCCAGGAAGGTGAACCTCAGCTGCCAATGGGCACTGGTCCACCGCACGCAGGTCTGGCTGTACCCTGCACATTGTGAGCCTCCTGCGCCTTGTGCCCGCCTGGCTCCTGGGCCTGCACGCAGGTGCTGCCTGTGCACACCTCAAGACGTCTAGGGCGGGGACCTGGGGAGGGATGGTGGGCTGAGATCAGCAGGTGGCTTGAAAAATGGCCATGGCCCTGGGACAGTGTCTGCTGTCTATTCCTCCACCGCTTGGCCAGAGCTCACGGGGCGGGAAAGAAGGACATTTGAGCCTCATTTCTGAGCCTGCTCCAAACGGGCCCCTGGGGGCGCCATAGTGGAGTACGGACCTTGTAAAGGAGGCAGATGCCCTTGAACATGTCACACCAGGGGGCATTATAAGGCCTGGAGGTCCCTCGCCCAGCCCAGGCCTCCTGGGGCTGCTCTGAAGAAAGCAGGCAGGCAGGCAGGCAGGACGGAGAGCCGCTAGTCCGCACCTAGCCTGGGACTTGGAAGCTGGAAGAAACTGCATTTGGCTGTCGCCCAGAAGTGGGGCAGGTAGGAGAGAAGCAGGGGAGAGAAACAGAGAGGACTGGATGAGGAAGACCCTCTATGCCAGACTGCAGAATTGAGGTGTGTATTCAGTAGACAAACTTAAATCCGGTTTAGACGTGGTCAGTATGAAGTGGGGAGTCTGGGAGTGGGACGGGGGTTGTCAAGGTAGGAAATGGAGAGAACGGCGAGATTCAGGTGGAGGATGAGCAGGATTTGGTGGCCGATTACTGGGTGGGTGGTGATGACGGTCCCTGGAACAGGTCCTGCAAGTAGAGCAGACTTAGGGGCAGATGACACAATCTAGGACGCATTTGGGATCCCAGAGGCCATTTGAATATGTGTCTGGAGCCGCTGGTGAGGACGGCATAGAGGAGAGAGTCACTTGGGTGCTGGGAGGCAGCAGGGGAAGCTGTGGACCGGGAGGGTGTGTTAACTCCTTTCGTCCTTTCCACACTCCGGTTGGCAGCTCCGGGCATCAGACAGCTTCTTTTTTTACCTCTTTCCTTGCCTTCCTTCCAGGGAAGCCTGAAATGGGCTTTACACACGGTTCTGGACCGAATGGCTAATGTTGCTCCAGGGCAGTGTTTAGGGCCCATTCAGCTCTTCCCAGCCTCCCACGGGCTCTTCTTTGAAGCCATGTATGTTCTTTTGTTCCCCACTCATAGCCACCATAAAAATGTCTAAACCATAATGTATAATTCAAAGGTGGGGGTGGCGGATATGCCCAGGTGTGGCTCGTGGTTTACGTTTCTCCCCCCGCAGGTCCATTTGGATAATTTCCATAAGTTTCCAAAGCCTGCGTCTCTGAGAAACATGGCAGGAGGCCAGTTAATACCCACGCAAGATCCGTAAAGATTATAGACTCTACCAGGCTGTAAAACGGTGGGATCCCACAGCCCAGGTAGCCCATATGGCATTCTCCTGCAAGTTAGAAACACATGCCCTCACCAGGTAGGTCCAGCCCCGTGCCAGGGGGCACAGATTGGCAAGCCAAGCACTAGCTAGGTTTTCTTTCTAACTCGCCTTGTATTGGTTATCTATCTGCCACACAATGCCGTGTACCAGTCTGTCCCAAAGCTCGGGTGCTTGAAATGGCAGCCACTTATGCTCGTGACTCTGTGGGTCACCTGGCAGTAAGGATGAGCTGGGCTAAGTGGATCCACTCATGTATCTGCCGTCATCTGTGAGTCAGTGAGACAGCTTTGCTAATCAGGGCTCTCCTGTGTCTGGGGCCTTGGCTGGGTCAGCTGGCGTGGCATTCTGTGGCCTCTCAGCCACCAGCCAGGTGGCCAGGATCATTCACATGGTGGAGGCAGGGGTCTGAGAGAACAAGCAAAGGCACAGAAAGACCCCCTTGGGGCCTGAGCTCAGAGCCGGCACACAATCCCTTTCACCACAGTCTGGTGTCAGAGTAAGTGACAAAGCCAGCCCAGCACCTGGGGGAAAGGAAATAGGCTCCACCCTTGATGAGAGATGCTGTAAAGTCACATTAAGAGGATACGGATTCAGAATGGGTGGAGAATTAGGGCCACTTTTGCATTCAACCTACCACATGCCTCCTTGATCAGGCACCATGGTTCAGACCCCAGCCTCCTTAAAATCCTCAGTGCCCCGGGTCCTCCCTGGACCCAGCACAGCTCGGGTACCCATCTTCCTGTGTCCTCCAGGTGGCATGCTTCTTGTTCTCACCTAGTCACCCATGAGTGACCGGACACCTCTCTAGATACACTCAGTCCAGTGGGCAGCAGTGGTCTGTGCCTGCCTAGCAACCAGTCTCCCCTATGCTGGAGAAAGTTCCCTGGTTTTTCTTTGGGAAATTATCCCTCCCCTACTTCCAGGCCCTGGAGAGGTGCCAACTGGATAAGGATGGTCTTATGACTCTGGCTGGGTTGCTCAGGGTCAATTCAAGACTCAAGTTAGAACGGTTTGGAAAGGGAGACTTCCTTTCTTCTGGATGAATTGCTGGGCGTTTAGAGGGTGGGAGCCTGGAGTGCACCTGCCTGAGTGTAAAGCCAATACAGGAGAGCAGAAGAGAGATCACGCCATATGTCTCTTTGTCCCTGGATCCAACTGTGCCTGAAGTAGGCTTCTGGACTTGTCAGTTTCCAAGCCACCAAATTCCCCTTCCATTTTAAAACTTTATTTTAATTTTTTGGCTGAGGCTGGTTTGAATGGGTTTCTGTCACTTGCAGCACTAAGAGGGTTGACTCATGCACCGATCAACAGATAGTTATAGATGTTCAGTCTTTTAACGTTCTCAATGAACTCTCTTCAGTTGTGAACACATTCGCCAATACGCTTTGACTGCCTACTATGTGCCAGGCATAGTGCTTGCTGGGTGCAGACACCTTATGGGTCAGCCTCTCTGAATTTGGTTTCCTAGGGTTGTATTTCATGGTGGTCCTACACGAGTCAGTACAAGGCCCTGCACATGAGCCAATATGGGCGCTGTGTGTGCCTCCACCAACCCGTCACCAAATGACAAGGTGTGAATGCAAGCACTTTGCCCCGGGGATTACTAATCTCTCAGTAATGCTAAGAAAATGACAGCCTAATTCCACATCAGTCCGTGGTTCCTAGGTAGTGTGCGCAGTGGTTTTTCACATTTCATTTCATGTTATGTTCACACCGACTCTCTGAGGTAGGTTCTGTTATCTCCTTTTTACAAATAAAAAGTCTGACACTCAGGAAAGTTATGCAACTTGCTGGATCAAACACTTGGGTCTGCCTAAATCTACAGCCCATCCTCTGAGTGGCAATATCTTCTCTGTTTTGCATACTATGTTTTTTGTTTTACTATCAGTGTTCCAGGGTCTACAGATGCTGGTGACTTCAGCACAAAGTCCTTACCTCTTTTCTTACCACTTCCTGTTTCTTCCTGTATTAGTCTGCTCAGACGATGGTAACAGAATGCCACAGACTGGGTGGCTTAACAAACAGGAACTTATTTTCTCACTGTTCTGGAGGCTGGAAGTCCAAGATTGAGGTGTTGGCAGTCTTGGTTTTTCCTGAGGCTGCTTTTCTCTCCCGTCATCATCTGAACCTGCTATTGCCCCTGACAAGCAGCTGCAGGGAGAGCTTGTTGTCCTTATCTTAACTGACCTTTATTAAAGTAGCACAGGGCACTGTGTACCCTCCCTTTGCAAATTCTCACACACCCAGGCTTCAGCTACCAGCTGTCTACTTTCCAATAACCCTGTCATCAACTTCATTTTTTTTTTTTTTTTTTTT